AGTTAACAAAACGCTTGCCCTGCTTCAGCGTGACTATTATTGGCCGGGAATGGGGAGTGACGTGGTGAATATTCTGAAGGGTTGTGTTGAGTGCGCCAGACGGAAACCACCGCCCGTGGCAGCTAATCCACCGCTGCAATCTATTCAGGTCTCGCGCACTAACGAGCTCGTTGCACTCGATATTCTGGGGCCTTTTCCAGTCACGCCTAGGGGTAATAAGTACCTGTTGGTGGGGGTCGAATATTTTACCCCGGTGGCCTATGGCGTGGCCACTCGCCAACCAGTCGGCGGCGGCTGTGACGGACGCCTTTGTCCAGGGCTACGTCCTGGACAAGGGGGCTCCCGAACGCTTGCTGACCGACCAAGGGAAAAATTTTTCGAGTAAATTACTGCAAGAGGTGTGCGACCTGTTGGGTACTAAGAAGGTGCGTACCTCCCCGTACCACCCGCAGACGGACGGGATGGTGGAGAGGCTCCACAGGACATTGACTTCTATGCTGTGCCAGCAGGTGTGTGAGGCACATGTTGATTGGGACCTGCAGGTCCCTGGGGTCCTCGCCGCGTATAGAATGGCCCCCCATGCAGCTACGGGATTTTCCCCGTTTTATCTGATGTACGGTCGGGAAGCCGACCCGCCCATGGAAACGCAGCTGGGCCTGCCCGCACCACGAACTAATTCGAAATTGGCAGAGCATATTAAATTTAATATTCATAAGCTGACAGAGGCAAGGGAGGCTGCACGGCTTAATTCGCGGGCTCGCCAAATTGCAAACGAGCGGTTGTGTGCACGGAAGGTGTCCGTGCACAACTGGGAACCAGGTGACAGGGCCTGGCTGCATTGCCCTCAGGCACCTTTGGCTACGTCGCCTAAATTGTTGAAGCCATGGCGGGGACCCGTGGAGGTCGTGCGGGTTGCACGCCCCCAGTGCGTTCAGATAAAATGGGGAAAACGCCGTTGGTACGTCCACCCCTCCCGACTGAAACCGTTCTCCGCCTCCATATGGCCTCCCCTTGTGTCGTGAGGGCCGAGCATGTGACGTGACCGACGACCCTAAGGGGGAAATGTCTTTGCCTGATCCTCACATGTCTCCGCCTGATCCGCTCCCAGGTGTCTCGGAACTGACAGCTGCCGACCACCGGCGGCCGGATCTTCGCGGTGGGGCCGGTCCTTCCAGGCCCGATCCGCGCCGTCTAGAGCTGCCGGAGCCACCGGACGGTCGCCAGCGTCCCGTCCCATATGACGGACCGGCCAGACGGACTCGCGCTAGGTCGCGCTACTTTTTATGACCTACCACGTGAGGAGTCGAGGCAGCCGGAGCGCCTCGTCACTGCGTTTAGTCACAGAGACACTTGGCGCGTTCGTTTTCGGGTGTTCGCTTTTATTGTGTTGTTCGTCGGGCTGTATATTGCTTCTTATTTAAGTGTTGTTGTTGTGTTGTTGTTGTTGCGTTACGGGGCACACTGGGGGGTGGGGTTTCTTTATTACTGCGTTGACGTTAGGTTGTGTTGTTGGTTAACAGCCGGGCCGGCTGCAAGCTATGTGGGAGGGGGTGATGTAGTGGTGATACGCGCTGGGATTAGGGATCGTATGCCAGCGCGTAATGATTGGCTGTGTATGTGGTGACGCGCGCTGACGGTGGAGGATCAGGGGTCAGCGCGGGGTCGTGGGTTACGGGGTACTGATTGGCTGTGGGCCGGTGACGCGCTGAGAGGGAGTGACCGGGTGGCAGCGCGGTGTGATTGGTGGAGTAGTGTTAACACGCGCTGGGGAAAACGGATCGTAGAGAAAGTGCGTCGTGATTGGTTCACTAAGGAGCGATGCTCACGTCGACGTCCGCATCAGCTCCGTCTCTCGTGAGCAGGGGCTATAAAAGGGGATGCACACAGGCGTAAGGGCAGTTTTTGTAACCAGCGAAGAATGAAGACGGGGATGAAGACATAGGGCCCTGCGGTACCTAGTCCCGCTGTCCTAACGGGACCGGGACTCTGTGTAACCCAGAGGCGAGTGTAGTGTGTGTAGCCATAGGCATAGAGTCTACACGAGCCGAATGTATTGTGTGTAGCCAGAGGCATAGGGTCTACACGAGTCAAGTGTATTGTGTGTAGCCAGAGGCATAGGGTCTACACGAGTCAAGTGTACTGTGTGTAGCCAGAAGCCTAGAGTCTACACGAGTTAAGTGGAGTGTATAGTCCAAAGGATAGAGACCACCCGTTGTATTGTGACACGTCAAGATTTAATAAAAGTGTGTTACCCGTCAAGAAGTTCCTGCCGTCAATTCCAATACTTCATTTGCACTACATAAGTAATGGTAATAATTATATTTTTAGCGTCTATCATGCACGCATCATACTTGCCCACTTGGCTTACAATTATTAACCGGTGTGAATTCTGCAAAATGTTATTGACAATGTAACATAGATGACATAAAGCTGCAGAGGTGTTTGATGACATCGAGAACATTAAGGGCGTTACGACATGAGCAGGCGTCCGTGTCACCTTAGAGGAATTGTAGATTATTCTTTTTTAAATGGAACCTTTATTGATATACGCAGCACACTCCCATCCCACTTCATATTTCACCCAGCGCAAAGAATCACCGTTGGATATTTCATTGCACTGCGTGTGGGAGAGAGCAGGTCAAGTGACCTCACTCGCCACGAGTGCAACCCACGCCGCGCTGCGCTCGCGTATTCCGTGGACTGTGTACGTGCGCGGGCGCATGCCGGAGTGCTCGTGCCCGGGTGAATGTTTTGTCTCGGTGGAAATGAGGGATTCTGAGATCGGAAGCGAGAGCCTTCCGTCTAAAGATGGGTGGGGAGGGAAATGAGGGCTGCAGGAGGAGGGAGCCCGGACAGGAAGGAAGGCGGTAAGAGCTGCCGATTGACGGACTGTACAATATCTCGCTTCGAGCAGCCGTTCATTGACGATGCCATTGCTTGCTTTGTGAGCTCGGCCCGGTGAACCCAGCCCCGTGATCCCTGCTGGATGATCCCAGTGCCGTGATCCCAGCCCCGTGATCCCAGCCGTCAGCATAGGAAGCCAAAGAAGGCCATTCCCAGGGTACAGCATGACGAGTGCCCGGTTACAGCGATTTTGTGTCACAGGAAATTTCTGTTGAATCGGAGTGGACAGAAAACCGACGAGAAATTCGTTTTTATAAGTAATTAAATACCAGTGTTGTGGGTTTTTTTGAGGATGCGATATTAATAAATAAAATGTTGTCAACAAGCCACCTTCAACATTATTAGGGGTACCGCACTGGCGAGATATTAACTGCCTCGCTTGGTATACAGGAGGTCATGGGTTCGATTCCGACACTGAGCTCTGCTGTACATTTGGAGTTTGCGTGTCTCTCTCCCCGTGGTCGCGTGAATTTGTCTCCGGGTCCTCCGGTTTTTCCCTCCACATTTAGGAATATGCGTTTAGAGCATTTGGCTGCTATACGTTTCCACATAATAAGCCACTTTATTGGACTAACATTTGTGGTCAGGTCGCTTCTGAAAAAAACCTGTATAGGGGCCGTACATAAATGACGTCACGCGATATTTGACGATTTTTGACCCCTCCTTCTTCGTCACACGGCGTCACAAAAAGTTAGACCCCCCTCAAATATGACGTCACAAAGCTCTGCCCCCCCCCAAAATAAAACATGTTTCAAATCGCTTTAAACTATTGTCATTGTAGTGCGTATTTAATGTGGCGCTGCACTCTGATTTTGTAGAAGAAAATATTTATTAAAACGTATATTTAATTAAGTAAAACGTGTTGTCTATATTTATTTAAAGTTGCGCATCTTAATGTGACGTCACATTTCTCAACCCCCCCCCCCCATCGTCACAAATGTCTGACCCCCTCCCCCCCCCTAGGTGCAATTTATGGACGGCCCCATAGATAAGTGGGCCTTATCTGGTATAGAAATGCTAGTGTTGTATTTGTATGCTCACGTGTTTTTTCTCTCGTGCTGCTATTAGGTTATTCTAGTTTGTATGTTACCTTTAACGGTCTACACACGCCACGATGATCCTTTAAAGCCACAGTGGCACCGTTCTACCTTCGGTGACCTCTGACCACTGCGCACGGGGGGGGGGGGGTACTAATGGAGGAGGCGCTGCAGGCAGTGGATGTGGAAATTGCGTTCAGGACGGGATCGCCAGGAACTTGAGCTGTGCAGAGGACATGGGTCTGCGGCTGTCTGAATCGCCTGCTCAACAAGTGCAGAGGATCACAGCCTGGGTGTAAAGCAGCAGCAGCAGGAGACTCAGTGTGAATGTTCACGTGACAGACGTGAACACCGAGAGGGGGAGTTGGGGAACGAAGCAAGCAAAGGGGTCAACATTCCTGTCACCCTCGTATCAGTGCTGCCTACCTCATTGCAGACCAATTCAGGCCTTATGGTCACCCCGTGCTCCTTATAAACTTCAACGTTCAGCCTACAAAGTCCCATCACAAGGGAGAATCGAAAATAAATACGTAAAAAAATTGCCCGTGTTGAAATGGCTGTACGCCGTATGGACCTGAACACTCAAGAATTGTATTCGCCTTAGCAAAAAAATGATAACATCTGGAAAATGAAGACAATCCTTGCATCGGCCACTGATAGACATAAGATAAATACACGGAGACAGAGACAAGACAGAGACACAGAGACAAGACAGAACAAGACAGAGACACAGAGACAAGACACAGAGACGGAGAGAGTTCAATCACAACGACGACATCGACTGAACGTTGACGCACAGACTCCACGCAGCGCCGCCGCCGCCTCCTCTCACCCACGTCGAAGCCATGAATGGCTCAGCGTGGCTGCTCTTCCATTCTTAAAACGAGCTGAGCCCGCGGGGGATGAGGATGGGCGAGGGGAGGTGGGGGGCTCCGTCATTGACTCGGACGCGACATCAGCGGAGAAACAGCCGCTGCCACCCGCACTGCGAGGAGGAGGCGGTGGCGGAGCCTCCTCCTCCTGCGCGCCCATTGCTCGGCGCGGGGTGACGCGGGCGGAGGGAATGAGAGGGGAGCGGCGAGAGGAGGAGGAGGGGGGGTCGGTGAGTCGGGTGACGCGCCAAGCACCGCGCTCGCGGCACTCCACGTCGCAGTCGGTGGACCTCGGAACGGCGGCACGGGACGGGGTGAGGTGCAGGAGGTGGAGTCACCGCGGCACAGCGGCACGGCTACTCGGGGAGACGCGGCAGAGGCGAGGATGTCTGACGGGGGGGAGGAGGACGGACAGGCGGACGGGCGGAGGGAGGCGGGCGGCCGTGCCCGCTCCCCGGAGTGGCTGAGCCGCGGTTTGGAGCGCGGCGCGCCGCCGCTGCTGCTGCTCGACGTGCGCGCCCCGGAGGCGTTCCGCGAGGCGCGGGTGCGCGGCGCGCTCAGCCTCTGCGTGCCCCCGGGGCTCATGCTGCGCCGCCTGCGCAAGGGCTCTCTGCCCGTGCGCTCGCTCATCCCCGAGCAGCGACACAAGGACGCGTTCGCCCGCCGCTGCAAGAGCCACGCGGTGCTCCTGTACGGGGCGGACAGCGGCGACTGTGGCGAGGACGGTGGCGGCGGCTCCGTGCTGGCGCTCATCCTGAGGCGCCTGCGTGAGGAGGGGTGCGAGGCGTCGTTCCTGCAGGGTGAGGGAGAAGCTATCTCGCACCTCCGCGCACTCGCCCCAGGGAGGTTTGCCGACACGCGCGCTCGGCTCGCCTGGGAAGCAGGGTGAAACAACAAACACAACTCACCCCCCCCGTGACCGACGCGGCGTGAAGAGGCCCATCATCCAGCGGTGGATAGACACGGTGCGGTGATGCGTCGTTAATATACCGGTCCGTCAACTTGTCGATGCGTCGTGATGTTTATCTGCCCAGCGTTGGGGTATATCCGCGAGTGTGACTGCATTTGTCACATGCCGGGGTGAACGGCGTCCCGTGAACCCGGGCGGTCCCTGAGTGCGACTGCGAGTACGCTGGGTGGTGACTAGCGCAGTCTGCTCGTCTCACGCTGCTTGTCATCCGCGAGCAGCGTGGCTGTCTGGGCAACCCTCTCGGACTCAAACGTCAACAACATCCGAGCACCCGTTCACCGAGGGCTGAGCGATGGTGAAGCTCGTTCTACGATCAGCGAAACACACCCCAGCGTGTCCTGAGCGTACCGCGCGTCAGATTTCCCTCCGTCTTTCCAAATAATATACGGGCCCTGTGTCAATCCACTGCTGGATGGAGGCTGTCCCCACACCGGGTCGGCCATCAGGGTTAATGGGGAGCGGTGGTGTAGCGGTTAGCGCTACGCTGCGCTATGAACCCGGCGACCCGGGTTCGATTCCCGTTCACGGCCAACACCGATGACGATTATCTGAACCGGTCATGGGCCTCCCCTAGGTCTCAAATGAGTACCTGATGCGTTGTGTAGTAAACAGCGCCACTCGGGAGACAAAGGCGGTCGGGCGGGGTGCTGGCCACCCACTCCCCTCGTGTGCCGTCCCGGCCTTCATAGGTGCTCGCTAACAACACTTGCCCCAACAGTCTGTTAAGGCTACACGGGGGATGTTTTGTCTTTTGGCCACACTTCACGGGGTGCAGGGCCAGTTCAGATATCGCTCGCCACTGCCGTTAGCCGTGGCTGAGTTCAGGGCGCTGTCGTGACATCATCGATCGTTGTGGGAAAACGTCGTCGCCAATGAAGACTTCGGGAAGTGGTGGGCGGGTTATGAACGAAAGGCTGAAAACATTCGACTCGTGTGTACTCGGGATTTGCAAGGCGTACAGATTGATCCAAACTCCAAATATACAGTAGGTGTCAGGGTCGGGATCGACCCCACGACGTTCTGCATACCAGGCGAGGTAGTTAACATCTCGCCGCCTTGGATGGGCATCACCTGGGGTGGGCACGTGTGGCAGATACTCAAACACAGCAACGAACGGCACTCCGCACACAACCACTCGATTGTCACTTCTTAAACAACCACAGTTGTACATTGTTACAATTTTGAGTGGTTATAGTTGTACGGGACTGAGATGGAAACGTTCACTCCTCTTTACCTGAAGCGACTTACATCACATCTCGTTTGACGGGGCAGCTGCCTTCCCTGTGCGGCACAAAGTGACTCGGCAGTCCGGCACGGGTCAGGCACGGGTCGAGGCACGGGTCAGCACGGGTCGAGGCACGGGTCAGCACGGGTCGAGGCACGGGTCGGGCACGGAGTCTGCCAGTAGGGGGCGATGGTTGCCGTCGTGTAATCCCCATTGTGTAATTTGTCCCGAGGCGAGCCGTGTTCGTTTGTGGGTTCGGCCCACGCAAGAATACAACATGTGGAGAGTCGCATTGGCTAAGAGCAGCGACGCGTTGAGTGAACCAGATCGTTCGACACTGCCCACTGCACGTGAAACACTCACGTCTATTGCCATCTACCACCCATACACAATTGGACCAAACAAGCCATGTGACCACACAATGGGAGTATGTAAATAGTTTGACTCTTCTATTTTTGCGTTTGACGGCAAAATGATCTAAATAGCAACGTCGAGGCATTCTGGAGAGAGAGAGAGAGAGCTCCAGTAGGTTTGCTCTTCCCCCATCTCTGATGAAGGAATGCAGACTACAGTGGTGTTACGCGACACGCTCCACAGTTTGAGTTGCATGGCCACAATCGCACCACTGTGGCTCTTGTCTTTATTTCCCGTTCACAAACAAACAACAACAAAAGTGGTAGCGGCATCGCCCTGCCGATGATCTTTATTTTCGATGCCGAACGCCATAAAACCAAACGCGATCCCCACCCACGGTTGGCCGGGTCTCGCCCGCGTCTTGCCGGCTCAGGGAGAAGCAACAGCTTGGCACCGAGGTCCCGTGCGGCCACCAACGCAGCAGCAGCCGCACACAACCCCAGCGCGCCCCCAACCCAATCCCTGGCTCGTAAACAGCCGGAGGCGAGCTGGGGCTGGAGGGGGGGGCTAGAGGCGCTGGCTCCGCGCCGCGACTCCACCGCGGGGAGAGCCGCCCCCCCCCCCCCGCGCGTCCTTCCCGCAGGGGTCGCCGCTCAGCAGCGGGCGTAGCGAGGGGACACAAACAGCTGTTTACAGCAACTAGCAGGGTGCTCGCCAACAATAGACCACACACACACTCACCACAGGTCACACACACTCACCACAGGTCACACACACACACCACACTACAGGTCACACACACTCACCACACTACAGGTCACACACACACTCACCACAGGTCACACACACACACTCACCACAGGTCACACACACACACTCACCACAGGTCACACACACACACTCACCACACTACAGGTCACACACACACACTCACCACACTACAGGTCACACACACACTCACCACAGGTCACACACACTCACCACAGGTCACACACACTCACCACAGGTCACACACACACACTCACCACACTACAGGTCACACACACACTCACCACACTACAAGTCACACACACACACCACACTACAGGTCAGACACACACAACACTACAAGTCACACACACACACACTCACCACTATACAGGTCACACACACACACACTCACCACACTACAGGTCATACACTCACCACAGGTCCACACACACTCACCACAGGTCACACACTCACCACAGGTCACACACACTCACCACAGGTCACACACCACACACTCACCACACTACAGGTCACACACACACTCACCACAGGTCACACACTCACCACAGGTCACACACACACACTCACCACACTGCAGGTCACACACATACACACTCACCACACTACAGGTCACACACACACTCAACCACACTACAGGTCACACACACACACACACACTCACCACTATACAGGTCACACACACACTCACCACACTACAGGTCAGACACACACCACACTACAAGTCACACCACACACACACACTCACCACACAACAGGTCACACACACACTCACCACACTACAGGTCACACACACACACTCACCACACTACAGGTCACACACACACACTCACCACACTACAGGTCACACACACACTCACCACAGGTCACACACACTCACCACAGGTCACACACACTCACCACAGGTCACACACACACACTCACCACACTACAGGTCACACACACACTCACCACACTACAAGTCACACACACACACCACACTACAGGTCAGACACACACAACACTACAAGTCACACACACACACACACACTCACCACTATACAGGTCACACACACACACACTCACCACACTACAGGTCATACACTCACCACAGGTCACACACACACTCACCACAGGTCACACACTCACCACAGGTCACACACACACTCACCACAGGTCACACACACACACTCACCACACTACAGGTCACACACACACTCACCACAGGTCACACACTCACCACAGGTCACACACACACACTCACCACACTGCAGGTCACACACATACACACTCACCACACTACAGGTCACACACACACTCAACCACACTACAGGTCACACACACACACTCACCACTATACAGGTCACACACACACTCACCACACTACAGGTCAGACACACACCACACTACAAGTCACACACACACACACACACTCACCACACAACAGGTCACACACACACTCACCACACTACAGGTCACACACACACACTCACCACACTACAGGTCAGACACACACCACACTACAAGTCACACACACACACACTCACCACTATACAGGTCACACACACACTTAAACACTGCAGGTCACACACACACTCACCACACTACAGGTCAGACACACACCACACTACAAGTCACACACACACACACTCACCACACAACAGGTCACACACACACTCAACCACACTACAGGTCACACACACACAGACTCACCACTATACAGGTCACACACACACTCACCACACTACAGGTCAGACACACACCACACTACAAGTCACACACACACACACACTCACCACAACAACAGGTCACACACACACTCACCACACTGCAGGTCACACACACACACTCACCACACTGCAGGTCACACACACACACCACACTACAGGTCATACACACACACTCATTACACTGCAGGTGTGTATGTGACCTGCATTGTGGTTAGTGTGTGTGTGAGCGGCAGGGTGGTAGTGTGACCTGTAGTGTGGTGAGTGTGTGTGTGTGACCTGTAGTGTGGTGAGTGTGTGTGACCTGCAGTGTGGTGAGGGTGTGTGTGTGTGTTGACCTGTTGTGTGGTGAGTGTGTGTGTGTGCGTGTGACCTGTAGTGTGGTGTGTGTGTGTGTGACCTGTAGTGTGGTGAGTGTGTGTGTGACCTGCAGTGTGGTGAGTGTGTGGTGGACCTGTCGTGTGGGTGAGTGTGTGTGTGGTGATCTGCAGTGTGGTGATTTTGTGTGTGTGATCTGCAGTGTGGTGAGTGTGTGTGTGACCTGCAGTGTGGTGGGTGTGACCTGTAGTGTGGTGAGTGTGTGTGTATGACTTGTTGTGTGGTGAGTGTGTGTGACCTGTGGTGGTGGTGAGTGTGTGTGTGACCTGCAGTGTGGTGAGTGTGAGTGTGACCTGCATTGTGGTTAGTGTGTGTGTGACCTGCAGTGTGGTGAGTGGTGACCTGTAGTGTGGTGAGTGTGTGTGTGACCTGTGGTGTGGTGAGTGTGTGTTGACCTGTGTGTGGTGAGTGTGTGTGTGAACTTGTTGTGTGTGGATAAGTGTTGTGTGTGACCGTGGTGTGGGAGTGTGTGTGTGACCTGTGGTGTGGTGAGGTGTGTGTGACCTGCAGTGTGGTGAGTGTGACCTGCAGTGTGGTGTGTGAGTGTTTGTGACTTGCAGTGTGGTGAGTGTGAGTGTGACCTGCAGTGTGGTGTGTGAGGGTGTGTGACTTGCAGTGTGGTGAGTGTGTGTGTGACCTGTGGTGTGGTGAGTGTGTGTGTGTGACCTGTAGTCTGGTGAATGTATGTGTGACCTGCAGTGTGGTGAGTGTGTGTGTGTGACCTGCAGTGTGGTGAGTGTGTGTGTGTGTGACCTGTTGTGTGGTGAGTGTGTGTGTGTGACCTGCAGTGTGGTGAGTGTGTGTGATCTGCAGTGTGGTGAGTGTGTGTGTGTGACCTGTGGTGTGGTGAGTGTATGTGTGTGACCTGTGGTGTGGTGAGTGTATGTGTGTGACCTGTAGTGTGGTGAGTGTGTGTGTGACCTGTAGTGTGGTGAGTGTGTGTGACCTGCAGTGTGGTGAGTGTGTGTGACCTGTCGTGTGGTGAGTGTGTGTGTGTGATCTGCAGTGTGGTGATTTGTGTGTGATCTGCAGTGTGGTGAGTGTGTGTGTGACCTGCAGTGTGGTGTGTGTGACCTGTAGTGTGGTGAGTATGTGTGTGACCTGCAGTGTAGTGTGTGTGTGTGACCTGTAGTGGTGAGTGTGTGAGTGTGTGTGTGACCTGCAGTGTGGAGTGTGTGACCTGCAGTGTGGTGAGTGTGTGTGACCTGCAGTCTGGTGAGTGTGTGTGACCTGCAGTGTGGTGAGTGTGTGTGACCTGTCGTGTGGTGAGTGTGTGTGTGTGATCTGCAGTGTGGTGATTTTGTGTGTATGATCTGCAGTGTGGTGAGTGTGTGGTGACCTGCAGTGGTGTGTGTGACCTGTGTGGTGAGTATGTGTGTGACCTGCAGTGTAGTGTGTGTGTGTGACCTGTAGTGTGGTGAGTGTGTGAGTGTGTGTGTGACCTGCAGTGTGGAGTGTGTGACCTGCAGTGTGGTGAGTGTGTGTGACCTGCAGTCTGGTGAGTGTGTGTGTGACCTGCAGTGTGGTGAGTGGTGTGACCTGTCGTGTGGTGAGTGTGTGTGTGATCTGCAGTGTGGTGATTTTGTGTGTGTGATCTGCAGTGTGGTGAGTGTGTGTGTGACCTGCAGTGTGGTGTGTGTGACCTGTAGTGTGGTGAGTATGTGTGTGACCTGCAGTGTAGTGGTGTGTGTGTGACCTGTAGTGTGGTGAGTGTGTGAGTGTGTGTGACCTGCAGTGTGGAGTGTGACCTGCAGTGTGGTGAGTGTGTGTGACCTGCAGTCTGGTGAGTGTGTGTGACCTGCTGAAGGCAGTATAGTATTATGGTAATAGAGCAAGTGCAGAATCACTGCCTCAGCAGTATGCCTGCTGTATTTTTCACCTGAAGACGATTGCTTGTGTTGCGATTAAAACGTCGTGATTTTCTATTATTTTTCTATCTACCTGACTTTACCGAAACCCAGAGTACGCAATTGATAGCTTGAAAGCATTTAGCGCAGGGCCCTTGAAAGTGCGGGGCCTGTAGCATACTGTATGTAGCTACTTTTGCTACTAGGATAATCCAGCACTGCATCGGGGGGTTTAACCATAATTCACCACGCTGGTCAGTCCAGGTTGGTGAAGTCCGGGAGGAAGACCAGTGTTGATATCGCGTGTCGGTGACGTCAGCCTTGACCTAGAATTGCAAACTCGGTTAGCCGAGTCCACAGCCAACACTGGCCTGTAACAGACTGTTGGGGCAAGTGCTGTCAGCTGGCACCTCTGAAGGTCGGCACAGCGCACGAGGGGGGTGTGGGTGGCCAGCACGCACACCCGTAGACAACAGGGACGAGATCACCCCAGGGGGGTGTTCAGAGACGTTTACCTCCATGCGGCCACGAGCCCCCAGCTCATGTGCCTGGTGCACGGTCGGCCAATCATGGATTGCACGGCGTACACAAAGGGGCAAACGGGAAGTTCTGAGGACCATTTTGTTAAAGAAGCCTGTCATGACCAGCATTCGTTATGGTGTCCGCGAGCCTTTTCCTGCCGATATCAGGAAGTTGCGGCGGAGGCTGCTGTGGTGGTGGCGTTGGAGTTTCGGTGGTGAACAGAATTCATCGGCCCAATCTCTCGTCTCGGAAGGTGCCGCAACAACTCGGCCTTTCCACGTTAAAATTGCGTTAACGAGGAAAGGCCGAGTGCCACCG